TTTGCGACCTGAATGGAATTGGAGACGAATATCATTATTTGTTTAAATGAATTGATCACCAGATACTACAAAACAGAAGAAAAGTTATGTCGAGATATTATTTTTAAAATCCTAGTACTTTCTAGTTTAACACGTTATTTAATTATGTAAATAATGAAGAATTAATTTCACTTATAAAATTCCTTAAGCACATAATTGAGGGAATTAACACTGTCCATTCACACCATGATTTATATGTAAATTGTACTATATGTATGTAAATTCTCTACAGGCTGTAACCAGTTTGCGAGAATAAAAACTTGTCATTGTCATTATTGTTTGTGTGTACTTAGAAATTACCATGCTCTTTGCAGGTTATGAAAAGATTAACACACTCGTACTTACTGTGATTGCTCCTTGGGTCCTGTCACTCCAGCATGGTGACCTTATAACATTGAAATGGTTGAAATTAGTGTCCTATAATGAAATACGCCTACTGGCAATCCATAGACAACTACCAAAGTTTTCCCCAGGTCTGATACCACCCAGGAATACATCATGCTAGCCCTTTAAAGGGGTCATACATGACCGAGATATACAACATAGTAATTAGTGAACTATAGTTTGAAGGTTGTTTCGAAAAATCAAATACAAGCCTAACTTATGTTTCAAAGTAATCATTGACATTTTTGACTAGCCTGGGGCATTGGGCTTTGCAATTTAAGCAAACATGTAGATGTTCATGAACTGAAAAAAAGTATATTGTTTCATTATTTTTTCAATCCCCGAAGGGTTCTCGAAGGAATACAGGTTTGCACTTCGTCCGTCCGTCCGTCCGAAAAGTTTGGCCGGGACATATCTTCTATACTATTTCACCTGGAGTAACCAGATTTGGTGTACAAGGACATCTTTGGATGGCAGAGTGAAGAGTGCAAGAAGGTCACTTTGACCTCACTGTGTCCTATATGATTTGACATTTGACCTTAACTTTTGAAAAAGTTGGACTGGGGAATATCTTCTTTACTATTTCACCTGGAGTAACCAGATCTAGTGTACAAGGACATCTTTGGAATGTGGAGTGAAGAGTGCAAGAAAAAGGTCACTCTGACCTAACTGTGTTCTATGCTTTGACCTTTGACCTTAACTTTTGAAAAAAAGTTGGTCCGTGGCATATCTTCTCTACTATATCACATGGAGTAACCAGATTTGATGTCCAAGGCCATTTTGGAATGAAGGAGTGCAGAGTACAAGATTTAGGTCACCGTTACATATGAATTGACCTTTGACCTTTACTTTTGAAAATATTTGTACGGGGGCATATCTTCTATGCTATTTCACCTGAAGTAACCAGATTTGGTGAACAAGGACATTTTGGGATGGTGTAGTGAAGTAGGTCACTATAAACTCACTGTGACCTATATATATGCTTCCTGACATAAGTGTACTGTTTGTGTATAGAAATTCTTACCGGTGGCCATCGGGGTCTATGGATTGGCTTGCAATACTTTGCCTTGTTAATACATATTTTCTATGCACAGTAGATCCTATTTCTTTCATTTTGTCTTGAGAAAATGTTGCCCTAAATGGATCAGGCGATATATTGACAAGAGTGTTAAGATAATAGTAAATCAGTAACAACAAAAAGGCCTACATGGAATATCTGACAGGTTTACTTAATTAAAATACTTTTTTTAAACTACCATTCATTTCATTTTCATGGAAGAATATTCAGCGCATTATGTACTAAGGATGTATTCTGTTCGTTTTGCTACCTTAAATTTCTTAGCTGGGGGCGCTGCAGGCGCCCGAAATCTACACAATCATCACAAAGGTTACTGAACTATGTGTGCTCGCTTATAGGCAGTGCCTATTTCATATTATAATAATGCAATTACTTAACAGGTTGCAAAGATTAAAATTCAAAGGCGGCATAAATAAATATGACTATTTCTCTCATTTCCGTGTGTGTGAGATAGAGCTGTCCAGGGTAAGAAAGGGGTGTAGGAAATTTCTATCGTACACCCCATTTCACGTGACGTGACGTCAAAATGGCTCAACAATGATGTGACGTCACTTATTTGGAACTCTCCGATGCCGCAATGCGGAAAAGACGACGCGATGAAATTAAAACCTTTTACTATATACATTTGTATTTACAGTAAACGTTAGAAAGATGTGATTAATTTTTCTGCGCAAACACCGTTCGCAAATATGGGATATGCTTAATCTGGCTGGCTGATTCGTTTTCGTCTAAAATGCTCAGGGGAAAAATTATATTTTCAAAATGGTGACCAGTCCAAACGCATTTTCATGGTTTCTGGGCTTATTCTGGTGGTTGGAATGAGAGAAAAATCCTCTTTCATGCCCAAGGTGTAGGATAGGGACATTCCTTTCTCTTACCCTGGACAGGTGTATCCGCACTTTTACCGGTGTGAGATTTCCTTGTCTCACCCTAGGGTTGAGACAAGCTACACGTGCTCTTTGCACGTTCTCCACAATAAACCTGACGTCACTGATGTGACCCGAAGAAGAACTACTTTTATGTGGTCACACACATACACAAGTTCGTCTGCTAATCTTGTCGTGTTTACATTTGACATCAAAGAAGATTGGATTGATTTTAAAATGTTTAAAATATGACGCGTGAACCGTCTGACGCATACATATAATATTAATACGCTATCCACGTGTTCCTGTTTACAAACAATATACTTCGTCTTACACTTGGACAGGAACAACAGGGTAAGAGAAAAATAATCATTCATCTCTCGGGGATGAGATAGGGGGATCTCAACCCTCGAAGGGGAGAATCTCAAGTTGCCAAACACTCGGCAAAGCCTCGTGTTTGGCAAATTAAGATTCCCCCCCCCCCCCCTCGGGTTGAGATTCCCCTATCTCACCCCCAAGGGATTGAAATATTTTATTAATCCTACACCCCTAGCTGGACATGAAAGAGTCTTATAATCTTATGTTCTACATTAACACAGCTTTGCTCATACTTTTATTTTGTGGCATTGTGGCAAATGATACAGATCGCCTTTTTGAATAACGCCATGATCTATTTTTCAAAGTCCAAGATGCATGGTCAGTGTAGCTTTTCCTTGTTTTTATATGGGGATATATATTTAGTCACACAGCGGGACACTTGCTGACCTGTCAGTGTTCTAGTTTCTCCTAATTTCTTGCGTGTATCCTTGTGAAAATGGAAGAGGGTACCCATATGGAGAGGGATGAGAAAGGAGCGGAAGGCAAAACAAGGATACTTATATGTAACAGCATGTCTGATTTTATTTTATTGAACACACGACAGGGAAATAAAACATGCTTTTATGTTTGTCCAGATTTATCTCTTATGTGGAGCCTTTTCTCGAAAATCAGCTAGAGGTACCACATCTGAGTTCCTAGTTGATGAAAACAGAAAACAATGGTACGGAAGCCAGATTATTTTCACTGTTGTATAATTGTTCTATATAAGTATACAATAAAGTTATTTAGTGCTATTGCATTAGGGAAGAACGATACTTTGTTTTCCCTCGTTAATGTTTCCCTCGAGCTTGGCCTTTGTTAATGGTGTTTCCCTATATTCCGTAGCTACCGCAAGGTCACTAAATGTATAATATGGGGGAGGGGTTATAATGCGGTTGGGTTTTCTGTCCATGTGAATAGGATCATGAATTGGAGGAACAACTCTAATGTATGGAGGTGCGCTTCTTTGTTTAAACAAATGGTTCACACTTCTTAAACACTGCACACACTGTAATCATACTTAAATCACATAATACTTAAATTGAGGTTATGTGATCATGATTATGCAAAATGGAAATACCTCCGCTTTTGATGAAGTAATGCCCCTTTAAAAGCATTGTTTGCGCTATTATGAACACGCACTTCACTTATTTCAATGATACTTTGTACATGTAATGCTTACATTGGGGGGTCATGAGTATTCAAGAATATAAAACGGAGAACCTTAGCTCCAAAATTAATGGAGTTATGTCCCTTCGTTTAAATACATTGGCTGAGATACTCATTCTTAAGTAATGTTATGATTTGATAAACTCTTATTGCACAGAACCATTACAATAAAATTTAACAGTTAAATTAAACCTCCACTTATTTAGGGGTTAAGCCTGTTTGTTCAAAATTCTTCTTAAAAAATAACTTCCTACAGTTCTTGAAGCAAGTTTCTGCCCTGGCAACAGTTTTAGTTTGGAAACTGTTGAGATCCCCACATGTGCGTGAATGGCATGAAGTAACAAACACAATCATGGATGCACCTTTGTATCTACCCCTATTAGACATTTATTTACCTAGAATGACCTTTAATGATATCACATTAGATCTCATCACTATACTATACCTGTCAGTCCTTTATCACACTATAACTTATCACTAGGCTATACCTATTAGTCCTGTATCACAAAATATCTCGTCACTATACTCTACCTGTCAGTCCTGTATCACACTACAACTCATCACTATACTATACCTGACAGTCCTGTATCACACTCGATCTCATCATTTTATTATACCTGTCAGTCTTGTATCATGTTATAATTAATCACTATACTTTACCTGTCAGTCCTGTATCACATTATAATTCATCACTATACTACACCTGTGAGTCCAGTATCACACGATAACTCATCACTATACTATACCTGTCAGTCCTTTATCACATTAGAACTCATCATAATACTGTACTTTTCAGTCCTGTATTACACATAATGGAAAATATTGCAAATTGACCGGCGTTTTTGAAACCCATTATAACGTTACATGTTTATAACGTTAGGCTACAACAAATGTTTTATTCTTAAGCCAGTATATTATGATTCCTTTTGGAATAATTCACAGCTATAGCAACCTCGAGACTAAAAGTCCATCAGTAGATCCAACTTCAACTATCATTATGATAATAATTGGAACAGCGTATTGTTGCGTGCTGATTGGCTAAGGATTGTGTCTCGCGGTGCATATCATTTAAAGTTCGGTCAACGACAAAGCTTTCAAGTAGTTTATCTAGTGACATGCACATGTAAATATACACAGTTATCCTGCAGACATCTTGCAGAGCATATTGGATTGGATTCAAACCATCTGAAGTAAAAGGTAGGTTGTTAAATACGAAGGTACCTTGCCATACACATTCGTCTTAAAGAGCTTGTTATAAACAATTATTTTGAGGTAATTACGAAAATTGGCCAATTTTCCTAACATATTAAGGTCGTTGTCAAAACGTTGAAATTGAATTGAGGTATACATTAACAAGTGTGATTAAATCTTAATGATGTGAAGGAGGAAAATCATTTTTAGATTTAGATGTTCAATGTGAACTGATTTATCTTCTTGATTTCTGGAAAATCATTATATAAATATGTGTTTGACTCATCAGAAAATCGAATTTAAGTAATAGCTAATACTAAAGACTAATTCAGTATAATGAAGTAAATAAAACCATCAAAAAATTATGAATGATCTACTTAAGTTACACTTCCCATATCAACATATATAATCTGTAATATTAGGTTTTGTAAATAAAGCAATGCAACGCTCTCTCCTGAGATAGGAGGAGTCGAGTTTGACGTAGGATGGAAATGTGGTGCTACAGATAACAGACACAAGAAATAACGTTTACATATTCATTCACTTCAGCAAGTAAAGTTCAACAGTAATCCGTACACGTTTACGCCACATTCATTCCTCTGCCGTATCCGTACGTTTCCGCTATAGGTCTTTCACAATACACCCACTTTCAGTCTCCATTTTAACTAATGTAAAACTAACACTAAAACACTAAACTAACAAAAATATGGCAACTCTAAAACTAGAAAAAGTTAACTCTGGCGATTCTTTAGTGTGCGCTCTCCGTAATATATGACCCCTGTATTTGTAGGTGTTAAAATTAGCTAACACGACTATTGGTCAAAATTATGATAAGGTGATGCTGTGCAAATGGACATTATTGATTAATTGTAAGACTTGATCAGTACTTAAAAAAGATATATAACTTATCCATGGCAGTACCTTTTATTTTTTTATTTATTTTATTTTTTCAAGATATTCAGAACATGTACATTATACAGAACATCACATCAACACACATCCACACATTCACACATATCAACTATTGAAATTATCATCATCCTCATCCTTATCATCATCCTCATCATTCATCATCATATAACGGATAATAATTTGTGAACCGCTTTGAGACGACCTACGAACTAGGTTGTGATAAAGCGGTATATACGAACCTCCAATTATTATTATTGTCATCATCCTCTGATGACGATTTTATACAATCACCAAGTCACATTCAATTTTCACGCACTTTTACACATAGAGAGACAAAACAAATGGACAAAGAGCACTAAGAGAGAGAGAGAGCACTAAGAGAGAGAGAGAGAGAGAGAGAGAGAGAGAGAGAGAGAGAGAGAGAGAGAGAGAGAGAGAGAGAGATCAGACTGCCATATTTGAGAAGAAAATAAATAAAATAAATAACTGCTGTGAGTATTTGTCAAGATCGTAATAAGTTGGCTCAGCCTGCATCGTTCAAAAATCACAAAATCTGACTTACACTGTACATGTACATCTGCATAAGCCAGCTCTACTAATTTTAACCATTTTTCCCATCCAGAAGTAAATCCTCTAAGACATTGTTCCCTTTTACCACGAGCAATATATTTCTGAACCTTATTGTAATCTTTAATCGAATTGACTAAAGCCGTCACTTTAAGTGACTTATGAAAACATCTGGTTTTGTATATATATTGTTTTATGAACAGAGTAATTTTATTATCAATTCTGGTATAAATTCCAGTTTGGTTGATAAAACCAAAGATCATTGATTCTTTATTTAGTGAGAAAGGAATAGTGAGAGCACTTAAAAGACTTTCAAAATTGTTCAGAAATGTTTGTACTTCCCTGCATTCCCATAAAACATGGGTAATTATCTCCCTTTCTATGATACAAAAACACAGCGTGGGTTATTTACAAGTCCAATTTTGTATAAATAAGAATTGGTTGTTAAAATATAATGATTAATTCTAAATTGCAACCATTGCAATTTTATATTTTTTGTTACCCCGAAAAGAATAGCATATATTTTCCCCCAAGTTTCCTGATTATAGTCGAATATAGTCCCCCATTTTGTTTGAGCAGTTATTGATGCATTATTTCTGATATTATAGAAACCATGATATTCTAGATAATTAGTTATTGTACCATGTAGATCAAAAAATCCCTCAAAAGACCAGGAAGAGTGGTCTGTATTGTTTTTCAACAAATCTTAATTATCATAATCTCATTTTTAAACCACTTACGATAAAAAAACAGTTTTATTCCCAACAGAAATATTTTTGTTATACCATAAGGGTGTCTTAAGAAGGGCAAACTTGTCATTTTTAAACAGCTCCTCTTTTGCTCTTAATTTATACCATGCCCTAAACACATCTTTCCAAAACACTTTTTTGCAATTTCCTTGAATTTTATTTAAGTACTCGTTTTCTGAGTTAGCCAAGATATGAGGATTTACACAAGATTTTAAAATGCTTTCCCATTTACCTTATGATCGAAAAAACCTTTTTCTCCAACTAATTTTCAGAGCTTTAATAAAAGACATTAAAATAACCATTTTTAGACCACCTTCTTGATAATTTTGAATTATTAATTCCCGTTTAATCTTATCAGTTTTGCTATTCCATAATTTTTTTTTTGAAAAGAACAGAATTGAGCTGTTTTATAAAATTTTCAGATGGATGAGGTAAGAAAATAAACAGATGATTCATCTGAGAAATTAATAAAGATTTAATGATATTAATTCTACTAATAGGTGTGAGCAACCTTCTACTCCAGCTCTTAATAAGAGCTTTAAGTTTAACTATTTTTTTATCAAAGTTCATTTTAGGTATTTTGTAAAGATCTACATGGAAATTTATCCCAAGAAGAGTAAATTTATAAACTCCCCATCTAAGATTCATATTTGGAAGGAGAACATCATTGCTGTATTTTTTTACTGCCTATCCAGACAACTTCAGTTTTACATACATTTACTTTAAGACCAGATATTTTAGTTCATCAACCGCCCCTTTCAGTGATTTTTCAGACCCTTCTAATACCACAGAAGTGTCATTTGCATACTGAGAGTTTAAGATGGCACAGTTATTAACATTTATACCAGTTATACTCTTATTGTTTCTAAGGCGGATTGCTAATACTTCTGCACATAGTATAAAATTATATGGAGCGAGGGGATCTCCTTGACGACAACAACGATTTATTTTGAAAAATGCTGATAAATTATCCCCTGGTTTATAGCAGAACTTGAATTACAGTGTAAAACTTTGACCCAATTTCTGATATCGTTTCCAAATCCAAAATATCTAAGTACTTCGTCGTTGAATTTCCAAGAGACAGAATCGAAAGCCTTTTCAAAATCAACCATTAATAACATTCCAGGGATATCATTTTCCTCTGTATATTGAATAATGTCATAAACCAGGCGAGTATTTTCTCCTACATAACGTCCTGATAAAAATCCTGTTTGATCAGAGTTTATAACTTTTTGTAAAACTAATTTGAATCTACTTGTTATTGATCCAGTAGCAAGTTTGTATACAATGTTTAATAGAGAAATAGGTCTCCAATTCTTTATAAAAGACTTTAATTTATTAGCCTTAGGTATACAAGTAATTATTCCCTGATGTTGTGTAATAGACAGCTGACCGTTTAAAAAACCATAATTTAATGCCTTAACCACAAAATTACCCAACTGATTCCAAAAATATTTAAAAACTTCCGATGTGAAGTGGCAGTAACTTGGCCTCGTTCTATATTTAGCACTTCCAAAGTAAAAATCAATACCTCCTACCGTGAGTATTCTACGGGTCATTAGGTGTTGAATTCCTTGCCAGATTGAAGGTCAACCGCTGCTATCTGTGTAAGATTGGGCATCAGTCTCCCACGAACTAAAAGAGAAAACAGCATTTGATAAAAAACAATAAACTAAACACAAAAACGGTTAACAAGGTAAGACGTATTCAATTACAGTTAGCTGCATTCGAAATCATATGCGCTAATATTACTCTTTAGAACAAATTTCCTTGACAAACGTTCTAAGACATGCTTGCTCATTCAAGTGTGTACTCTTCAGATTATCTCGCATGTACAGGCGCATTCTATCTCGGAAAGGTGATATTTCACAACTTCGTATTCTGGCTTCCCTTTAAAATAATTTGTATGGTGTTGGGGACACCTCTTTGTCAGTATTTAAATTAGAGTACAAAATTAACACTAACATGTAATCCCTGAACACTGTTTTTATTACAACACTATTCAATTTTCGTCGCATCTATACAAATGCAGATAGTGTGTAGGTCTAAGACAGGGATTAATAAAAGGGGTTAGTAAGTGTCCGACTTTTCGGTTAAGTATCTTGGTGACCGGTTCGTGGTCTCTCGCCCGAGTAACCGGTCAACTGGCTAACCGTTGACAACCCCACATAATGCATATACATACCAAATCTATAACATCGGTCAATATCTAAATGTCGACCAATCAAGACCGGACCTAACACAGATATTATGGCAAATAAAAAAAAATCAACGCAGATCGCAGTAGTGTTCGTAGTGACACTGCACACCTTTACATAGAGATATTTGACAATGCATAATTTCGACAAATTAGCGGCCAGTCTGCAGCAGACATTTTTTGGAATATGTTGGCCTTTTTTCCCATCTTCAAGAACCCGATTAAAATATTCTATTGAACAATTTCTATTGTGGTCCATTAATCAGAACAGAAATTGGTATAGCCTTAAATGACTCAGCAAATGATAGGCCATGATTTAGATCTGTTCGGAAACTTAACATTGAATATCATTAGTGACTACATGTATTAAACGTATGGCAGTACACCACTATTGCCGTGATACCTTGTACAACCACGCATGGTTATTCATTAAATCTGTGTATGTATCATATCTTTGTCTACCATTGTAAGTCAAATGTTTTGATATAAAATTAAACAAGAGGCCCATAGGGCCTGTATCGCAAACCTGGTTAATAAAGCTACCATGGGAAATCATTTTTATTACAAACAATCCCTCCAATGGTACAGAAGAAGAAGTATTTAAAAGAATTAAAAATCAAATTCACCTTTTGAGCCCCGCAACTCTGCACCCAAAAGGGCCACATCCATCATTAATACACAATAAACCCTCTTTGCCCAAGGATATTCCAGGCCAAATTCGGAAAGTCGGATAAAACCCTTCAACTGGTAAGGAGAAGGATTTTTAAGATTTAAACCTCAATTTCCCTTTAAGCCTCGCCCCTCTGCACCCAAAGGGGCCACACCCACCGTTTATAGAAGAGAAAGTTTCTTTTACCCAAGGATGCTCTAGACTAAATTAGAAATAAAAAAAACTTATCCCTACTGTAGAATCAGGGTTTTAAAGGTTTTACCCATATTTCCTCTATTTGGTCCAGACCCTCTCCAGCCAGGGGGTCCAAACCCACCATTTAAAAACGATTGTCCCCTTGGCCCACGGATGTTCCAGACAAAATTGGGAAATCCCGTAATCCCTGTGGTAGAAGAAGGATTTTAAAGGTTTACCTCTATTTCCCCTATGGGGCCCAACCTCTCTGCCCCCCCCCCCCCCCCCCCCCCCCCCCCCCCAGGGGGGAGTGGGGCACACCCTCCGTTTATACAAAATTGAGTCTTCATGGCCTAAGGATGCTACAGGCCAAATTTAGTCCAAATATACAGGGTCGTTCAGAACTAATAGCATTTTAAAGAAAAAGTTGACGGATGGACGGACGGACGGACGCTGCGGTATGGCATAAGCTCACCATAGTCCTTCGGACCAGGTGAGCTTAAGATTAAAGCTCGAACAAGTTAAAAGTTTTAAAAAAAGTTTTCGCAGTAGTTTCTAAATAAATAAGCCTTAATATACCACAATCCCCCAAAATAAAAAAATCGTGCTGCGAACTTACAATTTGAGCATGATTTCGAGTGAGAAATCGTGCCGTAATATACGGTATCATATATCTGCTTTCTAAGTCAGGCACAGGGCGCCAGGTAAAACACCGGTCACTCATCAAAGTGTTATTTACCTATTTTGTAACTTAGTAGCCAGACTCATTCTTGACGGTCTAACGGTCACTGTAATACTGTGTAACACGCATTGAAAAATTGAACGTAATCAAAATTAATAAGATGAGAAATTTAAATTTCAGTGTTCCTTGTATCGAGCTAGAACCTATCATTATACATTACCTGTCAGTCCTGTATCGGGCTAGAACCCACCATTATACTTTACCTGTCACTCCTGTATCGGGCTAGAACTCGTCATTATACTTTACCTGTCAGTCCTGTATCGAGCTAGAACTCGTCATTATACTTTACCTGTCAGTCCTGTATCGAGCTAGAACCCATCATTATACTTTACCTTTCAGTCCTGTATCACACCAGATCTGATCATTATACTTAACCTGTCAGTCCTGTATCACACTATATCTCATCAATATACTACACCTGTCAGTCCTGTATTACACTATAACCCAAAACTATACTTAACCTGTCCGTCTTGTATCACATACGATTATATAAAAAAAAGTCCTTTACTGATTTACAGTAGAATTACCTAACAAGCAATGCATGTTTACTATTATCTTCTTTGCAATTCTAAAAGCAATATGTGATAATTTCCTTTGATTAAAAAAAAAGATCTGATACAATTTCTTCAGCTTACTTAATCAAAAGGTATTTCTGTCGTCATTTACTAGATCTGTGATTTTACAGCCAATACAAAAATTGTTGTAACAGATATTCTACATATAATTACGATAATCTGATAGTAGTGTCAGGATCCGATTATCAATCATGTCATTCATGTGCATTTAATCCCATTTGTTAGGTTTATTCTGTTTTTATATTATTTAATTGATTTGAATGTGCCAATTTCAAAACATTTTTGAACGGGACATGGTTCTGATAGCTTTCGTTAAGTCAAATGTTGAAGAATATTTATATCCTTGAAAGGAAACTAATAAATGACAAAAAAACTGCTGATTCTTAAAATGCCGTTCTTTCCACAAATGACAGCCCCTCTAGGTGTTTCTATGGAGGACCTAACGGAAACTCGTGATTATGCTAACTTTGACCCCTACTGGTACGTAAAACACTACGTCGCCCCGGATGAAGCCGTAATCGGCATGCAGACGGATCTAGATCATCTCCGTCAAATGTTCACGAAATGTAAGTCATCACTAAAATTTAGTTGTTCTCTGTAAATGTAATTTCCAAAACATATATTCATGTATTTGAAAATGATACTGATATAAAAATACAATAACAGCTACATGAAATGAATTAAACCAGTTTCTCAACCTCACATTAAAACGAGGCAAACAAGAAGTTGATTTTGCATTCAATGATGTCATTAAACTGTGACGTTATAAAAGGGCAAACTTACTGACCTCCTATAATCTCTCATAAAGGGTCAACTAATTGGAAACATTTTTGTCTCTGGTGTGATAAAATATATTAGAAATTGTTTCGACAAAAATAAGAGAAAGATGTGTATGTATCACATAGCTGACCCATTTTACAATGTCATAGGGCCATGTCATAAATATCGTAATACACTTGTAATAAAACCTTAAGGTACTGCGATTGATCAATACCGTGGAAACATATTCCTACGCCACTACAGGTACTTTACGGCATTTAAAACTGTTAATTATTAAAAAAAGACATAAATATGAAACTACTTTGCACTGCACGGCAGGATAATACTATGATCGCAGTATATTGGTTTTGACGTCTATAGAGTCAGCTGATATCACATAATTATTTTTGATTTTTTTTTCAAATTATGAATGTAATGTGATAAATAGAATCTTATATTTGTGGCCATATCAAATTGACTTTTTAAAGCTACGGTCACATGACGACAGTGTACACTGACTAAGTTGTCTTCACAACAATTCATGTCAAATGTATGACCTCCATTATCTGTTGAGTAGTTAATATTTGATTACAAGCTCATTATTTATTTCTCAAACCCTGATTAACACCTGTGTAGTGATGCCCCTGCAAATGGCATCTAATTGAAATGGGATTAAACAAGACATGGTATCATGACTCTACATCAGGTCTATTATATCGACACTGAAAGTCAATCAACACGATCTTGTCAATGTTTGTGTATACTATTTGTGACAATTATTTTCTTTCCTCCAGACAAAATTGGTGGTAAGCGTCTGCTAGACATAGGCACTGGTCCGACCATACACAATGTGATCTCGGCTAGCCGTCACCTGGACGAGATTTTCCTTTCTGACTACGCCCCACAAAACCTAGAATATCTGCAAAAATGGCTTAAAAAGGATATATCTGAACCAACAAAGATAATGGATTACGTCATCAGCCTCGAAGGTTGCAAGTAAGCATACTTTCTATGACTGAATAGTACCTTTAAATTAAATTGGTTTGAACAGGTTTCTATCAGTTTTGTTTTGATAGCCTGTCCCCTTTCTTGAAAAGGCGTTTAAAATTGAACAAATAGCCCTGATCATAACGTAAAAGATGGACACATTTCTAAGTTTAACTCGGCACGTGCACGTACAAATTCACACGCGTCAATACATTGCTTTCTCAGGATGAAATATATTACACCAGCTACAACTTTCACTCTGCAAACATAATCTCATAACAGGAAGTTGTTCAAGTTTACATCATCCAGCCAGTTATTTGCATATTGATCGAAGTATCCCTCACAATTTTTTTTTGACAACATATAATTGCATGGTTTTTTTTATATAAAGGATGACTGCTGAACAAAGAGAAAACGAAGTAAGAGAAAAGGTAAGAGGAATTCTTCCTATAGACGTGACGTCAGAAAACCCCCTCGGAACTGCCTATGACGGGGGTAAATTTGATGTCATAATTTCGAGCAGTTGTTTAGAGGCAGTCGTGCTTGACGTTACTGGGTACGGGAGGTGTATCGAGAATGTATCTTCCCTTCTGAGTAAAGGTGGGTTTTTCATCAATATTGGCGACTTGGAGGGGAAATATTATCAAGTAGGATCGTATAAGTTCCCAGGAGTGTCGATAAATGAACAGGAAATAAAATCAGCAATGGTTCAGGCCGGATATGACATCAAATTTTACTCGGAATTCCCTGTAACTGCTGAGGAGACGCGATACACTGACACAAAAGGGTACTTCGTCGTTGTCGCGACAAAATAATTCTTTTCAGAATATTTTGTTTTTATATTATCTAAATCATTTATTATACTTTTCTTAAATAGATATTTATATGTTGTTGTCACTAAAACTATCAAAAACTTATAGTTATATCTTTTTTGTCACTAAAAGAACCAAGTACAGACATCGATTATCTTGTTGTCACTAAAACTAGATAGAAACAGATACAGCTGTATGACCGGACAATGCACCAAAATAGCGTGTGCATACATCGTGCGCATACCGCATACTAATTTATCATCACAATAATTCAGATGATGTTCAATTTTGCAATGCGTGTTACACACTATAACAACGACATCTAGATTGTACAACAATGTACAACAACCACTTTGAAAGTTGACCGACATTCTCATGTTTCTTCAAATTAATAACCAAGCTGATTAAGTTATGGGAAACTATTTGACACACATCCTATCCGATACAACCAGTAGAAACATGTATATTACTTAATAAAAGATGAAAAATCGTTAAAACCTTCCTGTAATGTTCGTCCTAACGAACTACTCAAAGATGTGCCTAGCATGGCGACAGCTTCACTGAAATCCTGAAAATTAGGAAGACGACCATGCCTAACAAACGCCGACATCTCGTTGTCGTTTATAGACGTTGTAGGCTTCACCGCCGACTTAGGAAGGTTATGAGGATTAGAGTGTTGTCCTTTGGTCCGACGTTTGGATTCCCTCCATCCTGATGCTTGTCTCTCCGCCTCCTTCCCAGTCTCAGAATCAATATCTACGGTGACGTCACTACATCACTGACGTAACTGTTCTCGCGTGATTCCTGCTATGGGAGTTTGCACCGTAGTAGCTCACTAGGGAATAGTTTTAGGGAAGTTTCCTCGCAAAGGGGGTAGTAATTACCCTATTTTCGATGAAACTTCCCCATTTCCGATGAAACTTCCCCAAAAAAGTTTTATTTCCCCATTCCCGGTAGGACTTCCCCTTTTCTGTGAAATTTCCCCTTGGTCCGCTGAAACTTCCCCTTTCTGCTGAAACTTCCCCTTTCCGCTGAAACTTCCCTTTTCTGCTGAAACTTCCCCTTTCCGCTGAAACTTCCCCTTTCCGCTGAAACTTCCCCTTT